GGGACTACAGGTGTGAGCCACCACGCCTGGCTAATTTTTTTATTTTTCAGTAGAGACAGGGTTTCACCATATGGCCAGGCTGGTCTCGAACTCCTGGACCTCGTGATCCACCCACCTCAGCCTCCCAAAGTGCTGGGATTACAGGCATGAGCCACTGTGCTTGGCGGGACTTGTATTTTCTTTCTTTTTTCTTTTTTTAAAAAAAGGTGGGGTTTCACCATGATGGCCAGGCTGGTCTTGAACTCCTGACCTCAGGTGATCCACCCACCTCGGCCTCCCAAAGTGCTAGGATTATAGGCTTGAGCCACCGCGCCTGGCCGGGACTTGTATTTTCAAAGGCTGCAGGTGGAGCTGGATGGGAGAAGGCCATGTCCAGGTCCTAATCGCTCAGGGCCTTTCAGGCTCACTGGGGACTTCCCCTTTTCCCTTCATTAGTGCACAGCCTCACAGAGTGTGGCTGCTCCCATGGCCCAGCTGAGCCCGAGGGGTTCAGGCAGAAAGGGGGTTTCTTGAAAGCCCTGGGATGCCCCAGCAGCTCACCGCTTACAGAGCCCCAGGGCTCAAGGCTCAGCTCTCCTCTTTAGATGGGTAGGGCAGGAGCACTAGCCCCGGTTAGATGACAGCTGAGACCAGGAGCTGCTGGTGGAGACGTAAGGTGGTGATCTGTGCCCTCGCCTACTATAAGAGGCTTCTCCTGACTCCACCAGGCCCTTCCTTTCTCAGAGCCTCTGCCTGGATGGTAACCACTTCCCCAGTGGACACAGGCCCTGCCCCCAGGCCCCGATGGCAGGTGACCTGACAGACACAAAAGGTTGACAGGGGCTGGTGATTAAAAAGGAGTGAGACCCCACGGCCTGTGACAGAAGCAGGGGCCTAGCAGGAAAGGGAAAGGCCTAGGCAGAGCCTCCAGCCTTCTAAGGGGGAGAGGTGAGCCCTGGGGCCTGGGGCTCCCTAAGCTGTGAGTTGCTGAGGCTTCCCAAGAAACCCCCTTTCTGTCCCAGGTGGGGGCCGCCTGAACCACTCAGGCTCAGCTGGGCTGTGGAGCAGCTAGGCTCTGTGAAGCTTTGCACAAAGGAAGGGAAAAGGGGAAGTCTCCAGTGAACTTGAAAGGTGCTGAGCAATTAGGACCTGGACCAGGAGTTGGGAGACAGACCCAGAGAGGAGGGACAGTCTGCCCAAGGTCACACAGCAAGCCAGTGGTGACCACACCTGGTGGATCAGCCTCTCTAAAACACCATTTCTGTACCTGTCAGTGCCACGAGGCAGGGACGCTTGTCTGGTTCACCAGCATATCACTGACATTTAGAATATCACCTGGTCCATGGAAGTTGCTCAATAAACATTAGTTGAATGAGTCCATCTGTAAATGAGTTGATTCACTGCTACTGCTCAGGGTGGTTGTGTGGCTCAGATGGCACTGGGTGGTGCCAGGCCCCTAGAAGGTACTCAGCAGGCAGGAGCTGTTCTGGGTTTGTCCTGACTCCTGGCCCAGGTTCCCCTTTCCTCTCCTCCCCTCTTCTGCCTCCCCTCTTTTTTTTTTTTTTTTTTTTT